CAAGTATATAATGTTTGCATCAGAATTGCCGAATAAGTTAAGAAGACAAAAAGCCTTCATAAGCACGATTTTAAAACCACCCGGTTTGAAAAAACAGAGTTACCTTAGTTGGTTAACTACGTTCACCTAAAGCTACTACATCCTCTTTGTGTGTTATTTGATCCACTTTTCATATTTAAAACCAAAAAATGAGCTATGAAATTGGTTTTAATTATGCTGAAATTTAATTAGAACTATCGTAGAGTCCTTTTTAATGATTACAAACATTGTCACTTGAAAAACTATTTTTTAATAGTTTCAAAAAAAAAAGGAAAAAATATATTTTTAAGACTACAACTTGTTAACGCATGGATTTACACAACTTTTTTTTTATTGTCTTTTTTATGTCATCATCTGATGCTATTAGAAAACCATAGAAAAATACATTGGTGGAATACATTTTTGGAATACGTAGCCGGATCCTCTGGAACATAAGTCTTAGAGTAAAAGAACCAAACTAAGATCATATTCTATGAAGCGATATAAAAGAGCAAAAAACTGAGATTCCTATGCTCAAAACTTATACTAAACACCAAAAAAGACCAACAACCACTCCTAGAGAACAAATAGATACCAAAGTGCGCCAAAAGAAGAAACACGAGTTGAACCTGTCAACACCGAGCTCACGGTAACAGCAACACTGGCGAGAATGAAAGCAGGTCCACGGTAGCATTGAGCATAAGAATAAACACCGACATTGCCACTCCATGATACGATGAAACTGAATCGAATTAAGCACAAGGGAGATAACCTTGAAATCTGCGTGGGGACACACCAACTAGATTCATCAACTCTTACACGCGGACACACCAAGCTAACCTCTGTCACCTACAGACAAAAGGTCAACCACCTCCTCGCAAGAAAAGAATCAAAATACGAAACCACTACACAGTTTGGAACTCAACCACAAACCCCTAAGGATTCGCAAAGAGAGAGCTAGTAGGTGCCTCTACAATATCAAACCATCCGGTTGACAAACCCCAAAACCACAAACTTTTTTTTTTGTCATATGGATAATATATTGATTTGAAGGATCAATTGTACAAACATTCACAAAAACCAAATCCACGACCAAAAAATTATTCATTTTTCTGTGGTATAAAAAGGAAAGGAACATGGTCAGAATTTAGAAGTAACTTTTTTTTTTAATTATTTGGCTTGAGAAATTCCC